TGTGTGTGTGTGTGTGTGTGTCAGGGGAACTCCCAGAACAGCATGCAAGGTTAGGAGAGGGGTTATCATTCTGGCTGGCACTTGTGGAACAATCAGAACAGCATATATGTATATAAACACTATGGAAATTTACACCTGTGAAGAAAACGCCACTACTGTATTATACTCTTTCAACAACAAAAAGTCAGAATTTTTTGTGGTCTGAAGGAGAAACAAGCACGTGGAAAGCAAGACAATGGTTTTATCACATAATGTAAAAAGTGAATGAGCAAAGCATGGATAGTATAGAACGGCATTTCTCAAGCTATTTTCTGCAGAACCCTGGAGTTCCACACAGCAGTCCAAGTGGATCTGCAAAGAATGCAGCTGTAATGGCAGACAAGCATGCACAACGTGTGATTTCCATTGAGCTGCAGTCATGGGGATTAAACTCACCACTCAAGCCATTGTCCTGGAGATCCCTTCCCTTTCCCTCCGCCCCTCACTGTGCTTTCCAAGGGCTGTATCACTAGCGGCCAGTGGGGTGGCATTGGTTACCTGGCCTCCGAAGGCCATGTTTCATTGCTGGTTACAAGAGCGGCAGAGGTGAGGCAGATGGGAGCTTAGGATGGTGAGAGCACAGCAGCAGGGCCAATCTGATACTCCTGGCGCTGTGACCACTACCTCTCCCTCTCAGCAGTTGGCAGTAATATAAAGCGCTGGAAAGCCAGGTAAGCAATGCTGCCTGACTGCACCACCCCCTACTGGGTTAAATGTGCTGTTCAAACCCTCTTCATGGGAATATATTGTCCTTCCTCTTAGCACTGGGCTGCAGCTTGATGGCAGGGATTAAACATGCTGCTCCTTTAGGTGAAGATGTATCTTTGATATGAGCCTAGGCCTTAAAGATCACAAATATAACAAAACAAAGGCATTTTCCATCAGAGACCAGGAGACGGAAACTTTCAATAACTTTGCTGCCAGAGTTGCTGCTTTTAAAGGTTGCCACTCTCCTTTGTGGGCTCTTTCAGTGTTCAACTCCCTCCCCAATTTTCATTCAGTATTAATTTCATTAATTACTCTCACTACATAAGGTGTTTGTAATATTGTTAAATTCAGAATAAAATTGATCTGAAAACACTATTTTAAATCAGCACTATGTTGTTTGGTGCTGTTAGTAGTGGGCATTTTAAAAGTTATTTTTAAAAGAATTTGTTGGAAGGGTTGCCCTGACATTTTGTTTGATGTGAAGGCTTATGCCACTGCAAAAAGTTCGAGAAGTACTAGTTTACAGTAATTGCCTAGGGTGGAAATATCCCTGATCCCTGAGCAAATCAGCCCAGCTCTTCAATAGCCCCATGAATTGCTACAATAGCCAGAAACCTCTTGGCAATGTTTCCCCAACATGCTCCAAACCCAGACCATTTTCTCACTCTATTCTCCGCATTCAAAGGGCAAAACTGTTTATTTCAGCCCTCTTTGCCGCACTAGTTCGTTCCCACATTGGCAGAGCTCAAGTGTGATCTGCATTTCAAGCTGGCCTTGACTGCTCATTAATTAGCATTCCTTGCTAGTGTCTAAAAACTATGCCAAAGCTAAAGAGCTTTGTCTTGAAAGAACAAGACAGCATAGCTCATAAAACAATATGCACGTAGCATTCTTTAGAATAAGCCAAGGAGTCATGAAAGGAATTTTTTTCAAAACTGCTCTGGGGTTTGGTGCAGGAAGCTTTACTGGTGACATCATGGGAGCTGGCCAATTAGTGCTGTGTCTTCTGCTTGAAACCTGAAGATTGCCCCACTCCTTTTGAGCTCAATATTGGAGTGGAAGGGTACTTTGGAACTCTGGAAGTGTCCTGACTACAGGAAAAATGTTAGACATCTCTTTGCTTTTTAAAGCTTTTAAAGTTTTCTTTTTAAAGTTTCACAACTGGGCTAGTCAGTGTGTGATTGCCACCCTCGGAATTCAGGAATCCCCATGCAGCTACTTTGTTTTGGCTTCCATGCGCTTGGAAATCTAAACCCAGAATAGTAAAGCCAGGGATTTGCCCTGTTCTCAGGGGGAAGCAGAGGCTTGGAGAGCTGGCTTTATGCTCTGTGTAAACTGCAAGGGATCATCTGGAGAACAACAAAACAAGAGAACAAGGTTAATGCCAAATAAATAAGGGTAACAGTCAACTAAGTCATACTCATTTTCAGTGGATTTACTTGAAATATGGCTATTAAATCAGAAAGAATTCAGTGATACAAAAGAAAAACAAAAGATGAGCATTGTTACCTTTTCTTTATATCTGAGTTTAGAGAAGGGCAAGTGGCCTATAATCTCAGGCAACAATAAGCAGAATTTAGCAGAATGTGTGCACACAGATTTTGTCACAGAATCTCAATTTAAAACACACACACACACACACACACACACACACACCCCTCTAGTTTTACACTGCAGCAGTATCTTGAAAATGTGAACTCTGATAGATATAAAAATATTCAGCTCACAAGGGGCTAAAGCAGATGCTTTTGGAGTCCAGTCTTCATAGCTGGCTGAAACCAAATGAAGAAATATTTAAATTGCACAATGCCCTCCGAGTGCATGATTCAGTACCAGCTCAGTGTTCTGCAGTGTTTATTAGTGAAAATCAGCAATAAGCATTACCAATTTAAATCAGGGTTTAGAAACACATTAATTCCAAGTAATTTAAAGTCAGTTTACAGTAATTAAAACTAGGACCGCTGCCCCCCACGTCAAGCAACAGGGAGCTTCGTTTTCCTTAAGATCAGGTATTTTCCTGATTCTGCTCTGCCCTCTAGTGGTTTTTGCTATTACTATACCTCTCTCCAGAGGGGCTTGCCTGTTTTATTGTGAAAGCAGATATTAGGACCCATTTACAGAACACTGTAACACTGACATTTGTGTGTCAATTAACAAGATAGTTAGATAATTAGCCAATGTCACTATTTGCCATTAATAGTCTTATTCATTATAAATTTGTCTGCTCTCCCCCTTTTAAAGCTATCCAAGTTGGTGGCCATCATTGCATCTTGTGGTAGTGTGCAATGTGCAGAAGTCCCTCCTATTATTTGACCTGAATTTTCCAACATTAAGGTTAACTGGGTGTCCCTGGGTTCTAGTATTATTATAAGAGGGAGAAAATTCTCTCTCTAGCCATTAGGCTTTGCATAGTTGTTGAAACCTCCATCAGGTTTTCCCTCACTTGCTTTTTTTTTAAATCAAGCGCTCTAAATGTAAACTTTTCTATAGAAGAATGCTCTAGCCTCTTGATCAAGTTGGTTGTCGCTTTTCTGAACACTTGTCATCTCTACAATATTATTTTTTAAGTAAGACAACCACTTTCCATTACCTGCCCTTGCTGGCAGGGTGTAAGTGATATTTCCTATTCCCACCAGATTTCTGAGGACAAGATTCTTCCTTTGGTGGATAGATGGCTTTCTCCATTAACTTGCATTAACTGCTTGTGCACATTTCACGCAGGTGTTGGTTTTTAAATTGACATTTCAAGCACTTCTCACATTGCGTGATACAAGATGCAGTACAAGTGACTTAAGACACTAATACTTTTTATTGCACTTTACAATGGCACACACTCCAGAAAGCTATTATAAACTGAGAAGATGCAACATTGTATTCCAATGTGCCACATTAGCAGCAGTTGTATTAGCAAAAAACAAAAACCCAGCACAATGCTGCCTCACAAATGAAAGGTGCTGCGGTGTGGATCACACCCTAATTCTCTGGCCTGTAATATAGGATAATAATACTGGTTTATTTCATAGGAGTAATTTAATGACTTCTGAGATAAAGCATGTAAAATAAATAAAACTTTGAACAGCTGAGTTCATGAAAGCAGAGAATTACAGTAGTATTAGAATTATTATTGTTATACTGTGCTTATATGCCAAATATCATTCAAAACTGTATGTTTGTGCAAACCCATATATTCCACCCTCCACGTTGATGAAGGGTATCAAATAGTCCGATACTCTCCTCTGCTATAAGGGCTGGGAAACTTATGCCTGGAACCCTGGAGAGCAAGCGGCCAAAGGTATTAATACTAGGCAGTTTTCTCATCTAATCATTTCCATGGTTTCGTTTTAATCTGTCAGAGAGCTGCAACAAGAGGAATACTACAGAATATTTAGGCTAGACATAAAAACAAAACCAGTAAACGGTATAACGCCTCCTCATCAAACGGCTCTAATTAATAGCATCTGCCACCGTTTACACCCTTCAGCCAATCCTAGCGACAGTCCTACGACGGCGGTTTTCTATGCGCGCGCCTAAAACGACTCAGTCACGCGCGCCTGTTCATTCAATTGCGATAAATACCGAGACGCTGCGGGTTTAAGTAAGACCGAGTCACGTGCTGACGTCACCGCGCGCGTGATGTGAAAGAGATCGCTCTATCTCGCCGACAGAGCTATAAAAACGTTGAGTGACACGTAGCCTCAACTTCTGAATTCTGCACTGGTGTCTCCCCCCCCTTCTTCTCTGAGACAGAGCTGAAACGTATTATTGGGACTGGAATATTCGCATAAACAAGGAAACAAGATTTCCCACACAAACAAGAGCTGAATTTCACTGTTGGGTTTTTTTTTTTTGTGGGTGGATCGGAGGGAACCACCGTATGCAGTGGGGGCCCGTGAAAGCTCGTGCAATATTATTATTATTATTGTTGTTGTTGTTATTATTATTAACAGCAGCAATGATAATACTACTAATCTCTCTTCTATGCCACTTTATATTTTTAAGGAAAAAACCCCTCAAAGCGGTTTACATTAAAACAGCCAGGAAAAAAATTACAAAGAAAGTAAAATGTAAAGTATACATCCATTTAGAGCAACATAACATCACTCCTGATTCTAAACTTGTCCATAGATTGGGGGGGGCAGTTCTCACTTCCGTCCCGGGGAAGGCGACTTCTCTGATGGAAACCCGGAAACTCCCTATCCTGACAAGGCGACGCTTCACTCTCTATTTTTCTTTCATAGATACAGTATATATACCTATGTATATCTCTCTGCGGCGACCCGAGCGGGCCTTCGTTTCTTCCCTTTTCTCCCCGGCGAGCGGTTGGTTTGGGCGGCTCGGGTGGGCGGGGCTTCTCTTGACAGGCACAGCGCGAGGAGGAACCGCCGACGGTTGGGCTGTGTGGCCGTTGGGCCCCTTCGCGACAAGCCCCGCCTCTCCCCCCTCCCCGCCGCGTCCCGCGCTTCTCCGGGTGCCGCAGTGGGGGGGCTCCGAGGAGTCCTCCTTCCCGCTTGTTGTGTCGCGCGGGCCGAGAGGGGGAGGGAGGAGGAGAAGATGTTCGAGAGCCTGCGCGAGCGGCTGCTGAGCGTCCAGCAGGATTTGACCTCGGGGTGAGTTAACTGCCGCCTCCGCTGCCGCGATAAAGTTCCTGAAAGTCCCTGAGGTGCTGAGGGAAGGGAGAGCCCGCGTGCGGGGCGGGTTGCTGGCGGAGTAAGGGGCTGCCCTTCGGGGCTCCGCTGACGAGGGACGCGCCGTGGGGCGTTGAGGGTTTGCCGCGGAAAGTTGCGGTTAAAACGCCCCCTAGGAAAGAGGCGACTTTTGAGGCACTTTGGGAATGAGCCCCGTGGTGGAATTCACTGGGGCTTTACTTCGGAGTAAACGCGCGTCGTGTGGCAGTGTAAGAAGTGCGTTCGCGTTTGTGGGCGGATTGCCTGCTAACTACCGACACCAGGTGCGTGTTGTGAGGATGGGGCGTGTGGCTTGTCCCGCCTCGGGTTTTCTTCTTTCTAATACGCTGCCGCAAATAGCACCAGGGGTGCTGCACGAAAACCACGCGCTGTCAATTAGTTCTTGGCTACTTTAGCCCTGAACAAGAGTCACTTCCCATGTCCCGCCTTCCTTCCCAATGTTGCTAAATGAACTTTGGACTTGGTAATTCGGTGTTGTTTTTTTAAAAAAAATCACTCAGGCTGCTTATCACCTGATCGTGCGGTGTTGTGTTTTGTTTTGTGTTTTTTTAAAAAAGGGATTGGAGCTTTTGCTAGCTTGCAACTGATTGCTTTCCTATCAGAGTACATTATCTGTAAGGTAAGCTCGTTTTGGAACAAGAGCCCAGCCAATAGGACCCCTTTCCGTTTTTAAAAAAATGCATACTATATATAAAAAAGTTAATGATAAAGGTTTGGGACTCATAACGTTGCAGGCAATGCTTTGTACTCCTCCACCTTCCCAGTTCGTGTGATTTTATTGGCCTGCTTTTTAAAAAGGCTGATAGAAGATACAGTACTAGTTTCCAAGTGCGCTTCTTATAAGGGCTGTTTTCCATGTTACCAGGGGAGCCCCTGTTCATTTGGGCGAATGGGGCACTGCTCCACCAATCTCAGTCTGTCATCGCTCCCACCTGTCTCCCTCTTACTTCCAATCAGGCCAAGGGGTGGCACTGCCTGTCAGCTTCTTCCTCTGCAGTCTCAGTGTTGCCCTTGGGGAACTCATGGGGGGGGGCAATATTGTTAATAGGCTCTGCCAGGCGTTGGCTGTGGTTCCACCTACTGTTGGTCTCCTGCAGTGGCCTGCGCTACCCAGGGCAGGTGCGGGAGTGCACCTCTGTGGGGGGCAGAGGGTGCCCTACCGGGCGCCACAGTCCGAGGAAGGATAGGGCTGGGGAAGCTGCCGCCCACTCTCCTCCTGCTCTCCACCACTGGGTCAGGCCTATCCCAGCGGCAGAGCTGCCACAACCAGGCACCACTCTCCTGCTCTTTGCTGCTGGGTCAGATATGACCTGGCGGCAGAGCCGCTGTGACTGGACGCGCCCCGTTGTAGCTCTCTGTTGCTGGGTCAGACGTGACCCATTGGCAGAGCTGCTGCGGCCCGGTGCAAGGTGCACCGTGGCCAAGGAAGCTAGGCGGCAGCATTGCCACCCATTCTCATGCTTTCCTCCCCTGGGTCAGACCTGACCCAGGAGTGGAGCTATGGCCAGGCTCAGCTTCTCACTCAAAGGAGACTGCTGTGGGGGCACCTGTTTGCACCCCCTCACAAAATTACACCTGGGGCCATGGCCCCCATGGACTCCCCCTACGCTATGCCTCTGGTCTCCTGATCTCTGCCCTACCAGAACCAGTGAGCACCACCAGCTACCACTCTTCTTGTTCATATGTGGAATCGAGCTATGTTCTTGTTGATTTTGAAGTATAATGAGAAAGTTGGAGTATGCCTGCTAGTATATCCAGGCCTGAGTCATTAGTGTGCCTGGGTACATTACAATGATTGATTCACTAATGGCTAGCATGAGTATTTCCACCAAGCTTATAATGTGACAGGCCCTCTTTCATGGGCATAGCCAGGATGGGGGGCAAGCTTTATGTTAGGTAGGGCAGAACTGAGTTATCTGTGATGTGATTTGTCAGTTAAGCATTTTTATTTATTTACTTTTAATTATTTACAGTCCTTCCCTGCTACATGGTTTAAGCTGACTAAGAGGCATGGAGTTATATGATACCAGAGAAATGGGGGGCTGGAGAGGTATCAAAATAGGTGGAGGAGCTGGACTGATATATCCAGTGAGGTTTATAAGTGGCAGGAGAAATGCAGAAGAGGGGGGAAACACTTAATAAACCTTAATAAATTGCCTTATTTTGAGTCTCACCGCTTTTCCTTTGTGTGTGTTTTAGGCTGAAGACCTTGAGCGACAAATCAAGAGAGACTAAAATAAGCAAGCAGAGGTGCTGTTGGATATTCTTAAATTATGCTTTATAAAAATTGCATAAGCAAAATTCAATTTATTGCATGATGTTTACATGGCATAACAAATACTGTAGTCTGTTCTATTGAATAACATTAAGAAGCTTATATTAGCAGGTTTTCTTTTTTAAAAAATTTCCAGTATAAGTTGTTGTATAATTGTTAATATTTGCAACAGCAATGTAAAAAAGGTAGCTTTGTGATCTAAATATTAATTAGAAAAGTACTGTAGGACTTCAACACTTAACTAACACATTCTGTTATTTTTTATTACAGGTCTATACAGTGTTCACCAGAGTTTTCTGCTGGATTACTCTTATTGAGCAAGTAAATTCTGTCATTTAAACTTCTGTTGAATTTCAGTTATTTATAATTCTTGTTTATTTTTCTAGAGGCATGGATGTAGTTAGTAAGGAAAGATACTGTAGCACTTTGCCTTGCTCCCCTTGTTTACTTCAATATTCAGTAGCAAAAAATTAATTCTTTTTAAAAGTGAGTGTTTTCATTGATCCTATTGATACCTTAGTATGGTTAGCATTTGGTTACTTATATGGAGCTAAAGTGGAACAAAAAACTTAGTATGCATTTCTAAAAACATAAGTCCCATTGAGTTTAGTGGGGCTTGAGCACAAACACTATTGGTAGTGCTGCCTGGTTAAGCATGGCTAAGATGAAGATAGGGAAACCATATCCTTGTTTTTAAGGAAAATTAAGGATTTTTCATTCTTCTATGTTTTATTTGTGAATATGTGGTTTGTTTCTGGCAATTGTTCAGCAGTCTCGAACCCCTCTAAGCCTTGTTTAGCTGTGTTGGGTAACTGCTTATTTTAGAAATTTGGCTTTCATTTAAAAGTTGTGTTATTGGCCCAGGTTTTAGACCTTGTGGTCTCTAAGAACTTAAGAGATGTGAATCTGGATAAGGCTCCAGTGCTAACGGAGTTTTTAAATATAAACATGTTTTCATATCGTGATCTTAAGCTGCAATCCTGCAGTATCCTCCGTAATACTTGCTACCAAATAGATGTGCATAGAACTGTGCAATTAATCTCTGCAAAATTCTGAAAAAATGCTTGCTTTCTAAGCCTTGACATCTCGAGTGCTTTGAGTTCAAGATTGTTTGACTTAATACATTATGAACAGTTTTTCTTGGTAGATATATATATATATATATTTTCTTACAGCAAATAAACACTTTAGTTCAGGACAGCTAGGTGAGCTTGTGGCCATAACCTTAAGTATAAGTCCAATGATATCACTGTTTTCTTTTGTGAAGATATGAAGATACTTGGGCAACTCTTCACAGAGGAGCAAAAGAATGTGCAAAAGCTGGAGAGGTAAAACATTAACAGAAACTAATATACAAACATTTTGTTTAAAAACTACTTTGCAGTTGTTTAGGTATTTTGCGTTTAGGAAGGTACACATCTCTCATATAAATGAGAATTCACCATGTAACATCTGTTTGAAAGAATCCTGAACATTGATCAGCATTCCTTAACTGGGAACCTGATATTTTATGTAGAATGCAGCTCCATCCATGTCAGCTGAAAATCACCCACCCACCCAGCTACCTCTACCTCTCTGCTGGCTCAGACAAACCACGTGCTTGCAACATGCATGCCTTACCTAGAGGAGCCTTAGTTTATTCATCCCCCACATCCAGTACATTATTAATTGCAGGCAACCATCCAGCACTTCCACACCTTCACTTGAGTTAAATGGTCTATCTTCACTTGACTTGGATGGATGTTCAGCTGAAGTGCTTGGCTATGTTCACACAAATGTACATGGCAGGGAAATTGAAGTGGCATGCTACTCACAGAATAATGGGGTTGTACAGGTTCCTGCAAATTGATATGTCTGTATTTCTGGGGAGCATGTGGGCTACATAGCTGTAAATCTTAAGCATGCTTCTAAATTCATGTAACTAATACTAATAGGGAGCTTTGGAGGAAGGGTAGGATTCTAATGTAATAATTAAAAACCTTTGCAAAACTCAAGATGATCGCCAACAAAATTAAAATTATTCATATACATTTGCTTCCTGAACTGGTTTAAGAGCAATAGGAATATAGCCACATGTCATCAAATCAAAACTCAAATCAATCTGATTACTTGCAAATAGAAACTAGTTGTGCATTATATAAGTAAGTAAAACAAATAAATTGTACATAAATATACTTTTCTTTGGCATATTCCTGTTACGTATATTAGGCTTCAAATGTCAAAATATATTATAGAATTAAACCTATCTTACAGTATTGATGACAACATCAAGGAGTTCCATGTTCATGATTTGCTGGCTTTCTAAGCTGTGGCTTGCCTTGGATACTTACAGAATACCAAATATCTAACTGAAATTTCAGCAGAAGGTTTTATAAACTTTAAAATGTGTAGCAGAAATAATTGCTGAATTGGCATAAACTTTGATTTGATACCTGAATTTACAATTGTATTCTCAGTTAAAATCTATTGTTCCAATATTTTTCAAAAAAATAGTTGTCTTTCAACTTGTACAGCTGCAAAGGTTTGCCTTGTTAAAAGGAAAGACATGAATATGTTAATGGACACCTCAGGCCTAGGCGCCAAATGTGGCTCTCGAAGCCCCCCCCCCCCGGACATTCACACCCCCTTCCCCTCAGTCATGTATCTCACTGGCCCTTCTTTGCATCTCCTTATGTGCTTTTGCCTGGCTGGAATGTATTTTGTACTGTGATAATGACTCTTGCTTGCTGGAATGGAAGGCAAAGGGGTATGTGTGTGTATAGAGACTTTTAACTCTTGCATGGATGGAATGTAGTATTCTGTAGAATAAGAGTCACATTTGCGGCTCTGCCTCACCTATCACTGTGAAGGTTGCCTGCGAGCAAATGTGACCCCAGGCTGAAAAAAGTTCCCCATCCCTGGAGTAATAAAGAGTTGACTGACTAGACTATGGGATATTGGAATACATAATACAAAGTGTTAAAATTAATGCTAAATTGAGAGTTTATCATAATCAGAATTCACATTGCAAAGTAAATAACATCCATTCACTTTTGGAGAGACCATGGCCAGGTGTATGAGGAATACTTTTGCAAACTTGGAAAAATATTTAGTATAGTGCATTAGCATAACCTTGAATATATTTTTGTTTTATTTGAAATTTGTTTTATCTGTATTTTGCACTGAAAATATTGTGAATTGAAATGTGTAGCTATTTAAGGCTTTAGCAGCTGACTCATGAGCCCTATCAGAGGTTTGGAGAGTTAAAATAAATTTAATAATGTTAGTTTTATCCTTGGCTTTAAACATTGCAGCTGGTGGATAGTGAAGTTGTGATGCTTTCTGCTCACTGGGAGAAGAAGAGAAGCAGTCTCTTAGACCTTCAGGAACAGCTCCAGCAAATTCCGGGATTTTTAGCAGATTTGGAATCTACAACCACTAGCTTGAGTAAGTGTGTGTGTTCCGCTTTATTTATTTAAAGAATTGTCTCACCTTTTAGGAAGCTTTCCCATAAGCAGCTTGAAAATTATGAATATACAAATGTTAAAACATCACAGTTAAAAATTTAGTAATGGTCTTGGTATAATAATAATAATTGGCATACAAAAATTAAAACTATTCATAATAATGCTTTTAAGGAATGTTTCAAGGCACAGGAGGAGGAGGATTGCCAGATTTCCCTAGGGGGAGAGTTCCATAATTGAGGTGTTGCTGCAGAAAGGTCCTGTCTCTGGTACCCTGGGAGATAAAAGAGCAAGACTTGGAAGGTTATATTTAATCCCATGTATGAATGTGGGCAAAGGTATTTCTTTAAATAGTCGCGTCCCAGAGCATGAGCTTCTTCAATTGAGTCCAGACACAAATTGATAACCAGTGTTAGATTCAAATATGTGGTCACCCTATTTCAATTTCTAAACTGTCTTTAAGGGAAGTCTAATGTAGAGAGCTAGTCTTAGCTGCAAATGCCATGTAGGCCTCTATTGTTAAAATTCGATATAGGAGAACCATTTCTCCTACATCAAGCTGTGTAGTTCATTCTTCAGGAAGTGTGCAGCCCCATCTGGAGCAGGTTATATATCTCCATCCAAATCAGATAGATTCCTAAATAACAGCATGTTTGTGTTGTCTGGATTAAGCTTCAATCTGTTAATCTTCCTCTCATTCAGTATTGCCTGAAGACACTGATTCCAAGTTTCTGCTACCTTCTTGGGGTTAATTGATGTACATTTGTTAATTTTTATCATATAAGATATCTTCTCTTGTGCCATTATGTTAGTATTTGTGAAGTTGTTAATCTACTATTTGGAAAGCTCTCTAAAGCACAATTTAAAAAAAGAGTAAAAGTAAATTGGCAAATGCTTGACATTTGTAAAGTTCATTGTAGGTAGTAAGAAAATACGGACCCCTGGTCATGTAAACTACCTGGAGCTTTGTAAGGTCTCCACTAGGGGGTGCTTGATTGCTACTTTTCCAGAAATCACTATCTAGAATGAGGAAGAGGGGAGCATTGAGGACTACATTCCCTCTTGGCCAATCATCTGGGACTTCATGCCAGTCCCAGTGGTGGGTGGGGCCAAAACAAGAGTTAGCTTGACCAGAATTCATATTGCATGTAACCCCCCCCCCCCGCACCATTGCATATATTATATGCATACAGTGTGACTCATCAGCACATACCACATAAAGGCCAGCTTCTATTCACCCCGTCTAAAAACAATTGGGCTTGGGAAAAATCATTTTAGCTTTATGCCTAATTTCTTGGGGTGATATTAATGGGGATTGCAACTGCGGTTTGTAGGGTTATCCCCCCCCCCCCAAGCTGCACTCTCCATGAATATTGTGTCCTCCCCCCAGCAACTAAGATTAAAAACAACCTAACCAACTGGTTTCATTTGATTGGAGTTGATTGGATTTCATTTCATTGGAACCTATTGAAGTGGTTCTTTTCAGCCTAACCATGGTGTGTGTTGGGTTGTGTGTGTGTGTCACAGCATATGTGGAGCATGCAGGTTTAGAAGATCCTGCCTTTATTGAGACTGCTTGTTTCCCGTTGAATGGTATAGTTTAATGTAAATAACCAAATACCCTACATTGTAAGTACAAAAACCTACTCAAACAGTATGTGGGGTTTAAATGATTCCTCAGTTCCTTAAATAGACAAAAACATGTACAATTAACATAGATAAAAAGTTTAACAGTTGTGCAAGTAAAACAATGCAATAATCAGGAGTTGTGAATCGTTGGTAAAAACAATGATGATCATCATAGACCATACAACTGTTACATGCTGTAAAGAGCCTGTGAACACTCATCATATTTTACAACCACATGAGTAGGGCAGGCAATAACGGAGCACTAAATTTTGTTTAATGCTGTTGGTGTGCGTGTGACACAGATGGTCTGTGTTGCTTCTTTCTCCATACACCATCTTGATCACTGTTGTGGAGTGGAAAGGGATTGCTCCCTGTGATGGGTGGCTACTGGGTCCTTCTGTGTGTGCTCCATAGGATGTTGCACCTTAGGATGTTTATGGAATAAAGTCGCTAGATTTTTCTACATGGATCTTCTTTCATGTAGTGATTGTTCAGTGAAGCCTAGGCCAGTATTGTGGGAGAGTGGTGTTGGGAAGGGAAAAGGAGGGAAGAAGAACCTTCTTTCCTCATTGGCCATATCCCCAGTCCTGTGATTAGTTTTGAGACATCACTTGTTTGCCAAGATAAGCAAAATTTTCCTTAAAATCACCACAAATTATGTTCCTAATGGTTTGCCTATTTTGATATTTGAATATCTTGTTACACAGTGCAACTGGAAGCAAATTTTAAGGAAATGGAAAATCATTTACTTTATCTTGAAGACCTCTGTGGACAGTGTGAATTGGAAAGATACAAGCATATGCAAGTACTACAGCTTGAAAATTACAAAAAGACTAAACGGTGAGTTTATTATGATTTTAAAGATTTATTTTTTATATTATTGACTGTGAATTCCTTCTTTCTGTGCAAATATATGTTCATCTTAAATATCTTCTTGTCTGAGAATGGAAACTTGAGGTCCCAGAATCCTTCATGAAAAGGAATTATCTGCCTGCAGTTGGCTTTCAGATTCAGGTTGTAGTCTTATGCATGCTTAAGATTGTGCTGAATATGTGCTAGAAAAAGTTTCACTTTGGGTATTTTAGGCCTTCAGTCTTCTACTAATTGCAGTGACTTGATCTGCCTTATTAGTCATCTTCTGTCAACATTGCTCTGATTCATAGTAAAGGGCATTGCATGGTAATTGTGGACTCCATTTCTTTGGTACAGATGAAAAAATAAATGCTTCTAGCAATGGCAGGGACCAGCTATTTCTGGGTGAGCTAAATGATAAATTGGTTCATCAAGTTGTCACTCACCTCTTGGGAGAAAAGGTAGTGTCTGGTTTGCTGCTGACATATGGTGAGGATAAGATAAATGGTGTTAGGAATAAACTTGGATCAAGTGATCATGACTTAGTCTGGTTTGATTTAATTAGCAGGCCAGTTGGATTTAGAATTGCAGCCAAGCTATTTGATTTCTAAACGACATATTTTGACATACTCTGGAGACACATTAGTGAGGTGATTTGCATCGTAGGGCTTATACCCTTGAAGAAAAGAGCTGGAATTATGCATTAAATTTACACCAAGTAAGATGGTGAACTCTTTTGGAGGAAAAATCTAAAGATGCAACCAGAAGAACAAAATTGGAGGATAACAGGGTGAATAATTACTTATACAGTGGTACCTTGGTTTACAAACTTAATCCGGAAGTCCGTTCTTAAACCGAAACCGTTCTTAAACCGAGGTGTGCTTTCCCTAATGAGGCCTCCCACTACCAGTGCCCTTCCACCGTTCGGATTCCATTCTTAGACCGAGGTAAAGTTCGCAAACTGGGACACTACTTCTGGTTTTGGGGAGTTTGTAAACCAAATAGTTCATAAAAAGGGCTGTTCTTAAACCAAGGTACTACTGTGCAGAACAAGGAAGGCCTTTTATTGTCAAAGACTTACCAACCAATTTCTGTTCTAATAATTTGAGAGAGAACTCAATTAATGGGATACATTATTGTCAGAATGTTATTAACAACTGCCATTCAAGAAGGAACATAGTATATACAAATCTTCCCTTTTAGAATGTTTCTTGAGATGCTTGTATTATAACAGAGGAAGATGTAGTTGCTTTCTATCCCACATTGCAGCACCTATTCAGATACCAGACAAATGAGGCTTTTTTCTAAGGTGACTCACCTACCCAGTTCAGGTGTAACATTCTGAACTCAACAAACTCTAGTTTCTCCTTCTAGCAGGGATAAATTCACAGGCTACCACCTCCTTATGCACCATCTGCAAGAAAACCTCATGGTTTGTTAAACCACAGTTTCCCTATAAAGTCTACACTAGGAAACTGATATAAGCATTACCTACAGTCCAAAGTCTGCCAAGTACTACATATGAACCATGATCAATCCTAGTTGGTACAGTGTGCTTAAATCACAGTTTTCAGGTTTGAACATTGCAGGGAAACTGTAGTTTCACCATTTCAAGAGGGGTATGCATGTTAGTCTGTTGCAGCAAAAACCAAAGAGAATTTTGTGCTATTCCATGCACCTGATGAAGTGGTTACAAAAAGTTATGCCATAATAAATTTGGGGTAGCATAACTGATTAAAGTTTGTCCTTGTTAATCAGCAGGCTGTGGGCATGAGGAGAGCCCATCCCTCTACTCAGGAGAATGTATGTTATTTAAAGAAATTGAAAGGTAGCAGCACCAGTTTAGGGTGACTGAGCAGGAGTATATAATCCTTATCTGGTGTTCATTATCCATGTGAGTTACCCAAAGGAGAGAAGCTACCCTTACCTGAAGTGCTCAAGGCAAGGAGAAAGTAAGTGTCCTTGAAGCCACACATGAGTTCAAGGGGCCTAATTCCCAGCCTAAGAGTGATTTATATTGGACTTTCATCCAACCTTCACCACAATACTATGATTAGGTTGAGAGATACTTAATGCATTTCCTTTGTGAATAATCAGGGTTTAGAACCTGAGTCCCCCTAAATCCAAACCACCTATCACTGTTCCTCTGTCCTGTTACATTTGCTGTACATGTGAAACAAAAGAATTTAAATATATCACATAGCTAAATTCATTTCAATATTCATTTCTGACTTGAACCTTTTTCCCTTGCTTAAAAAACTACCATTCCCTTGAAGATGACATTCGCTAATGCCAGCTGTGCCTATTGGCAACATTCATGATTTGACATTGCTCCATAGTAAATATATGCTAGTTTTCAGTGTTGCACTAAATATAGGAATTCCAGCTTGTTGAAAGACACAGCCTTGGTTGTTGTTTTTTTATAATCTAATTGCCAGTAACTCTTTTGAGATTTCTCTTGAAAGAATGGGTGCTCCTCAGATTACTTCAGTCAAAGAATGTTGTATGTTATATGTTGACTTGAAGCAGGCTGGAATTATTTACAGTTAATCAGAAAGGGTGCACTGGAAAAGGTTTACCTTATTATGTAGAAATGAGCACTGTGCCACTTTGCCGTTGATTAAGCATTGCTAATATTGATCTTGGTTTGAGAAAAAGCATTTCTTTGGTGGATGTTTGTAGAAATCAGCACCCTTATAGACTATTGCTTCTCCATCTCTCTGAATGTAGCCATCCAAGTACATTTGGCTCCAAGATACTGTGTATTTTACCGTTCTTTATATTATAGAACTTCATCTTTCCCCCAAGCAATTTCTGTTACAGTTTTATCATGCATTCAATTTTCTACAAGTAATAAATGCTAAAATGTAGAATTACACTAAATCCTTCAACTCTGAAGTTCATTTAGAGTAGTCTTTATACTTATTTTATTAATATGATTGGATATATGACTTCTGTTGTCTCCAAATTAATAATGGCAATAATTGAAAGCACTTTTTAGAACTTGATAAACATACTTAAACTATTTCAAATTACTTGCTTTTAAATTCTTGCACAGATTAATTGGTTATGCTGTTCATTCAAAGCTGTTTTTGCAGTGTGGGAATAAAATATATCAACTGTTGATTGACTTGAGATGAATTTATTGTGTGTAATAATGCTGTTTTATACACCCTGATTATGAGAAGCAGTCTTACATACTTAACATACAGTCATACCTTGGGATGAATACGCTTCGGGTTAGGTATTTTCGGGTTGCACTCCACGGCGACCCAGAAGTAATGGAGCGCATTACTTCTGGGTTTCGCCGCGCGCGCATGCGCAGTCCGTCAAAATGACGTCACGCGCATGCGCAGAAACTAGAAAACGTGACACGTGGACACGGGTTACGTTCGCTTCGGGGTGCGAACGGGGCTCCGGAACGGATCCCGTTCGCATCCCAAGGTACCACTGTACTTATAAAAATCACACAACCTTACATTCTTTTCCTGTTGCTGACAAAACGTTTTGTGCAGCTAAACTTGTGATCATGCATTTTGTTTTGTTTCCCTCCCCCCCCCTTTACAGGAAAGAACTTGAGATCTTCAAAGGTAATTCAAATCCTCCCCCACCCCTTAGGACAACTTTTACAAAATCAAATGTAACAAAAGATATCTATTTCACTTTTGTTTCTGTATTGCACTAACTTCTGGCAGACCAGTTCTGCAGATCAGCTTTAGCTACCATAATGCAAACAAGTGTCTTACTCTGTCTTCCTGGCTATATATGTTTCTTGTTGAAGTAAATAAGTAATGCTCTGTGGTGCTGATATGCTGGTAGGAAAGTTAATAAACAGTGAGCCTGCAGTTTGAACTCCTTGACTGAGTGAAAAGGGGAGGCTGGAAAGGGATATAGGAGGTGTGTACAGACTTTTCATCCTCCCAACTGGCCTGAGGTGTTGAATGCTGTTAAGCATATGTTGCATGTGGGCATTGTGCCTATGGTGGATGACTACTAGTCCATAGTGTGGCAGTGTGTTTCCTGCTGTTGTGGGCAGTTATGATGCACAACTTGTTGAGACAAAATGTGTGAGGCACAAAATATTAACCTGCCATTTTAAAAATTGTTAGCAATTGCTAAATGTGTGATTTTGCTTAGCTACGTGAGTGGTTTTATTATTGCATAACACAGTCAATTAACTTCAACAGATAACAAGTGGCACGTTATATAAAATGCCACATTGTTTTAGCTTGGTATTGAAAATGTCTTGTTTATCATGGCAGCTTTAAACTCAGGCTCCATTAGTAGATGGCCAAAGAGTAGGTAAATGTAATTCTGTGCTATTATTAATTCTTGCATTATAGAGTGAACAATATAAACTATGTTTAAAAAAAAATCTTCTAGCTTTGAGTTTTGAAAGTCAGTGGCATATATCCATAGCTGTCTTCTGTTGCATTGAATTTAGTGTGTTTATATATTCAGCCTGCCCTCTGATCTAGTGCTGCAGCTAAATGTCAGGTCTGTCCATTGGGGGCTGACCTGACATATATTATTGAGAACTGGATGGACAGGCTGGATGGAATTGATCCAGCTCAGCTCTTTCTACCTGGGTACCCAATTCAGCCTCAAAACAGATTGGAGGATTAGCCAGGGTGTGTGTCACAGGAATCCACAATGAGTCTTATCTTTCTTGTGAGGAGACACTTCCATTCTGCTAAGGGTTATGTGGGTCTGTACCTCACGTTGAACTATAGAGAGATAATAGGGATACTGTTGCAGTACCATCTATCCTGTTGCCTAGAATTCATTCCTGACCAAGGTAGTCTTGGAGTTAGTGCTGGAGGATCCCAGGACTGAGTATTGAAATTCATTTTGTTAGTTTGAGTCCAGTTCTTTAATTTGTTAAGCTCGCATTGAATCCTGATTCTATTTCTGAGGCATTAGCTACTCCTCAGAAATCCAATATCTTAGGAACCTGTCTGTACCAACCTATCAGCGTTTATTTACCAAAGCCAGACTAAATGTATTTCTATCGGAAGTGCTAAATGGTAGACTGAGAAGCATCCCTTATCAGAATAGGCTTTATGTTCTCAGGACGTCGATTGTATGAAGCATATCTTACTGCATGTGGGCAGTACAAGCAAGCAAGGGACCAACTGATTAAACCCCTACTAGCAAATCTGCCAGGAAAATCGGAAGCCTCCCATATTAAATATCTTTTGGATGACAGGTCTAATGATATTATACTGGCTGTGGCAAAGTTTCTTTCAGAAGTTATAAGAAACAACAATTATCATGCTTAAGACAAAACAAAATGACCACCTTGGTTTCTCTATCTTGTGTGGCTGGCTATCTTAACTGTATTTTGTTCTGAAATTACTCTATGGGTCTTTGGACTGCAATAAAGATTCTCTCAACAAGCCCTCACAGCTTGGTGCCATCTGCAGATTTCCTCTATTCATTTGAGTCATTGATAAAAATATTGTAACAACCACCGGGCACAGGTCAGAACCCTGCAGCACCTCACTTGTCCCCTTTTCCCCCCACTCAGTCAAGGAGTTTGTGAACGTTCTTTGGAACCCGAATGTCCAATGTGTGTTCCACAGCTTCTGGTTGGCTGCAGGAGCTTCCTGCAGCCAATTGGAAGCTGTGCCTTGGTTTCCGTATGTTCTGGAAGTCGAATGAACTTCCGGAATGGATTCCATTTGGCTTCCGAGGTACAACTGCTCAGTGCCTTGCATGTCTTCTGGGATGTCCTGGTTGCTGTCTGAATGTACCAGTCCCTGACAAGAGGAGAATGGCGTCACTGGCATATGTTAAAACTCAATATAGAAATTGGAGGAACTGGTTGCTTTTGATATTCCAAGGATTAATTTATATTTACGACTGTATTGATTTTTGTCTTTTATGTTATTTTATGGATTATAACTTGCTCTTAGATCATTTGATATAGAAAGGGTTAGCAATTAAAGTTAATATTAATAAAGTTGTACAACTGTGTGTATTTGGGCAGCTCTGTTGTAAACTACAATGATGATGAATAGTAAATATATATTTCTGACTTCCTAGTTTCATATAATAGTTAATTTTATTTCTCCCATGAAGCAATTATTGTAATTATTGAAAAACTAATTTTGACTGCCATAAAATGTCAGTGATTTCCAAATGTATGTATTCAAGTGGACACTTCCATTTCTGCTGTAAGGCATACTTGATTATTTCTTTGTTCTAAATTGCAATATGAGTTTCAGCTACAGATATTTTTAGTAGAATAGGCAGTGCCAGCTGAAATCTGCCTCCCCCCCCTTCAGAGCTTTGAAATAATTTTGAAAAAAATTGTAATAAAGTTTTCAATACTTTCTAACAGTTTCATGCGGAGATGAGAACTGGTCTTGAAATATGTCTTAAATAGTGATGTGATCCAGAATTGTCTATGAGGGAGTAGATGTATCTGAGAAGTCCTAACCATTTTCTATGGATACTTACAGATTCTATGGATACTTACAGATAATTACAGGTTTTATTTGCAACATGGCTGCCACTCATCTCCCCCCCGCCCCCGCCCCCCCCGCTTCACTGAAAGTACAATACTGGCAAGGAAAGTACAAGATGCTATATTTGTTTGAGTTACTGATACTTTACAGGGTAAACATCACTAGACTAGTTTGAGGTTGTTAACCATGCTGCGGGGGCGGACCATCTGAATTGGTCCCACCTTCCTGCAGAGGGGAAGGGTCGCGGAGAAGTCCAGTTGCACCAGGAAGTGATCTGACCATGGCACTTCTTTTGTTTCACTTTTACTTAATGTCAGATCACCAACATCCATAGAGGTGAACACCAGGTCTAAGGCATGTCTGTGGCTATGAGTTGGGCCAAACTTATTCAGGGACAGCCCCATGGAGGCCATGCTTTCCATGAAGTCCCGAGTGGCCGGCCCCTTGTAAGGTCGTGTCGGCATGGATGTTAAAATCCCCTCGGACAACCAAGCTAGGTGTCTCCAGGGGAACATCTGCCATGACCTGAAGCAGCTCGAGCAGGGAATCCTTGGTGCAGCGGGGCGGTCGGTACACCAAAGGAATCCTGTACTGCCCTTATTGCCCAACTTCCAGAACATGCACTCAGAAAACTGGGTCTTCCCAATAGGACGCCTGGTGCAAACTAATGACTTCCTAAAAAATCACTGCAACCGCCCCTCCCCGCCCAGATGACCTGGGTTGCTGTGCATAAGAGAAACCTGGTGGACAAGCAGCGGCAAGGACAGGCCCATCTGCTTCATCCAACCAAGTCTCTGTCACACATGCTAGGTCAAATCCTCCATCCACAATCAGGTCGTGGGTGGCAGTGGTCTTATTCATCATTGACCTGGCATTGCACAGCAACACTTTCAGGTCATGTGGGTTTCCCTTGCTGATTCCAGTATCCTTCTGGTCAGGACCAGACCCGGAGGTAGGGATAGTCCTCAGACAACAACTAAACCTGCCTCCTCGGTCATAACATGGTCTGGTCTTAGCGTAGCTCCTCCTGCCCATTTCTAGTGATATGATCCTCCATTTCTAGTGATATGAGCCTTCATCTGTACTTCTAGTGTTTTTTTCTAGGTTGGTGGTGGGAGGTAGGGATATCTTGGATAATTTTAGTGATAGTTTTAATGTTAACCTCTTTCTGAACTTTGCAAGGTATATACTGTATGGCAGGGATTCAGCAAGTGAGACATATCAGTAGAAACTTGAACAAGAAATTTGTGTCTTGCACAATGGAGCTTCCCCCTTTGCCCTCTATGCCCCTTGAAATTGTTTTGGGGTGGGGAATTGGGAGAACTCCTAGAACGGTGCGCGGGGGGGGGGGGAGGAGTGCTATTCCATATGGCAAGTAGAAATGCATGCCCTGACAGAACGATTGGCATAGCATGATGTTGAATTATTCCGTATGTCTTTACTGAGATACGCAGTGTATTCCTTACTGTTGCCTGTTGAGCAGATAATGACGAGTGAGGGTATGCAGGTGATGTTTCTGTTAATGAAACTAGCTTCAAATTGCAACCTTAAAATAGTGCAAAAAGAGGGAACATAATGCTCCTGTGTAAACGTATGATGCTCCCACAATTACAGTGTTGCATGTATGATACTGGGTAGCTCAGAATGTAGAACTGGATAAGGTATAAAAAGAGCAGTTAAAATCTGGGAGGGAACACTTTGCACCCCCCTTTTTCTCCCACTGTGCACAAACAGGTTTAACTGTATGCTTGCATTTAAATCATGTTTTTTGCTTGAGAAAGCATTTCTAAATTGTGAAAACTCACATTGTTGAGATTATCAGGCACAGGAATGTTAATGAGTATTTGGCTTAACAGAGCAAATCATAATAAGCTGTGATTGAATAATTTGTGTGATGTGTGTATCGCACATTAGCACAGTGTTTTCAAGTTCAGACTCTCTGTGTGTATATGCACGTGTGTGCGCACACCACACACATGCAAAAGGGGGGAAATGCATTTCTAGCAAGACTAGTACATAATCTGTTCTGAAGGGTTATTAAACACAACCATAATTGGTAATTTTGGGAGGGGAGAGCCAAATAAACTGTTCCTATTTAAACTGAAATCTGTTCATCA